GGGCGACCAGCGCAGCCGACGGACAAGCGAAAACAAACAAAAACAAACAAAACTGCGGAGTAGGGCCAGCCGAGGGGCCGAGCGACCGCGGGGCGGCGGGCGAGCCTGAAGCGACCAGTGCAGCCGACGGACAAGGGAAAACAAACAAAAACAAACAAAACCGAGGACTGGGGCAAGCCGAGGGGCCGAGCGACCGCGGGGCGGCGGGCGAGCCTGAGGTGACCAATGCAATCGACGGACAAGCGAAAACAAACAAAAACAAACAAAACCAAGGAACGGAGCCAGCTGCGGGGCCGAGCGACCGCGGGGCGGCGGGCGAGCCTGGGGCAACCAGTGCAGCCGAGGGACAAGCGACAACAACCAAAAACAAACAAAACGACTGAATGGGGCCAGCCGAAGGGCCGAGCGACCGCGGGGCGGCGGGCGAGCCTGGGGCGACCAGCGAAGCCGACGGGCAAGCGAAAACAAACAAAAACAAACAAAACCAATGAATTGGGCCAGCCGAAAGGCCGAGCGACCGCGGGGCGGCGGGCGAGCCTGGGGCGACCAGTGCAGCCGACGGACAAGCGAAAACAAACAAGAACAAACAAAACCAATGAATTGGGCCAGCCGAGGGGCCGAGCGACCGCGGGGCGGCGAACGAGCCTGGGGCGACCAGTGCAGCCGACGGCCATGCGAAAACAAACACAAAACAACAAAACCAAGAGATGGGGCCAGCCGAGGGGCCGAGCGACCAGCGTCACCCAGGGAAGTGACAACCAAACCCTAGAAGTAGATTAGGTTTGCGCCCGCCACAAAAAAAAACAAAAAGTAATGATTCTTGAAATAGGAAGGCGCTTAAAGTAGATTGGGTTCTGGGAATCCAAAAATACCTACTTTCAACGACCGGTGGGTACTTACGCCACCATTCGTTATTGAGCACCTTGGCGTCAAAAGATGTTTACGTCACCGTCGCAGTTGCGTCGGGTTCCTCCACCACCTGTTCAGAAACAGCCTCGACGCTTGGTGGATGTGCGTCGCCAACCACTCGCCAATCGGCAATCTCACTCGCCGCTGGTGGCGATGGTTTTCATGTTGCCCAATAGACGCCCGTCCCAACAAGCTAACATGCCTAATAACCAGAGATGGCAACCTGACCATCGCGGCCATCAGGGTGGCAGCCTCCCAGTGGTGATCGTTCACCGAGCGCGCTTGATTGTCCACTTGAATGCTGGTTCGACCTATGTCATCTGCTGCCCCGTTGCGAATCCTGTTCGCGCTGTCTATGTGGAAGCCGCTATTGTTGCCTGCCTGTTCGCTAAGGTTGGCGATTCCTCCAGCTATGTCTGGGAGCGCCCGTATTCGGCACTGCAGCTCCAGTGGGAGAGCTTCTTGCGCACGAATCGCGTCGCACTTTGTGGGGCACTGTTCATCTGTGCAGTCCATCCTCCCTTGGAAGAAGGCGATCGTCGCACGGGTGTCCTGGGCCTTGCGTACGAGTTCGGAGATGTCACGCTGGACCTGTGCCCAGGTGGTAGCAGCATGCTCTACTTGTTGGGTCGACTCATTGTTTCGTTGCTCCAACTTGGCTACTCGTGATTCGAATGGTTCCTGCCGTTGGACGGCGTGCTCAATGGCACTGTATCGCCCCTTGATGTAAGTGACCCCTTGTTCGGTTGCTCGCTGGTCGGAGTGGCCGGCTTTCGCAGTGGCTGATGCCAAATTGTCAAAAATCCCCCGAGACTGGGGGTCCACACTCTCGGTATGCTGCGCCTGGGAGGCGCCCGCGAACTCCGCAGAGGTAGTTCGCAACCTGTTAGGATTGGCTTCTTTTTGCTGCTCGAACGCTCTGCCTTGCTCAGACAGGGCCTGCTGCTGCATTTCAACCATCTTGAGGCTCAGGGTCTGGAACATCTGGGCAATACCTGATCGAAAAGTGACAGTGCCCCAATGGCTCCCGACGCCTTGGCAACCGGGGCCTCAAAACCGTGCTTACGGGCAACGGGGTACGGAGAAAATCGTCTTTCCTTCAGATCCCATATGTAAATCTAGCCGTGCCAGCGTCGGGCCCCCCCAACGCACAGGTGTCAGGCTTCGGCCCCCGCACAGCTACCTGCGCAAATCGAAACTTGAGTGGTCCCTTTGCGCGGGTCGCCCCCCCCCCCCCGCCAGCCACCTGCGCAAATCGGATCTTGAATGCTCCGTTTTGCGCGGTTCGGCCGCACAACCACCTGCGCAAATCAGACCGTGACTGGTCCGTTTCGCGCGACTCGGCCCTCGCCCAAATTCCTGCGCAACTCGGCACTCGAATGGTCCGTTTTACGCGGTTCGGCCCCCGCCAAACTACCTGCGCTAATCGGACATAGAGTGGACCGTGTTGCGAGGCTCGGCCCCCGAGCAGCGACCTACCTCCGTTTTGCGCGGCTCGGCCCCCGCCAAGCTAGCTGCGCAAATCGGACCTGGGGCAGTCCGTTTTGCGAGGCTCGGCCCCCGCCCAACTACCTGCTCAAATCGGACCTTGAGTAGTCTGGTTTGCGCGACTTGGCCCCCGCCCAGCTACCTGCGGAAATCGGACCTTGAGTGATCCGTTTTGCGCGGCTCGGCCCTCGCCCAGCAAGCTGCGCACATCGGTCCTGGGGTGGTCCGTTTCGCGAGGCTTGGCCCCCGCCGAACTGGCTGCGCCAAAAAGACCTTGATTGGTCCGTCTAGCGCGGCTCGGCCCCGGCCCAGCTACCAGCGCAAATCGGTTCTGGAGAGGTCTGTTTTGCGCGGCTCGGCCCCCGCCGGCCCCCGCACAACTAATTAGCTGCGCAAATCTGACCTCGAGTGGTCCGTTTTGCGCAGCTCAGCTCCCACCGAACCACCTGCGCAGATCGGACCTTGAATAGTCCGTTGTGCGCGGTTCGGCAGCCGACCGGCAACCTGCGCACATCGGACCTTGAGTGGTCCGTTTCGCGAGGCTTGGCCCCCGCCGAGCTTCCTGCGCAAACCGGACCTTGGGTGGTCCGATTTGCGCGGCTCGGCCCCCGCCCAGCTACCAGCGCACATCGGACCTTGATTGGTCCGTTTTGCGCGCCTCGGCCTTCGCCCAACTAGCTGCGCAAATCAGGCCGTGAGTGGACCGTTTTGTGCTGCTCGGCCCCGCGCAGCTTCCTTCGCAAATCTGCCCTTGAGTGGTCCGCTTTGCGCGGCTCGGCCCCCGCCAAGCTACCAGCACAAATCGGACCTGGAATTGTCCGGTTTGCGAGGCTCGGCCCCTGAGCAGCTACTTATGCAAATCTGACCTTGAGCGGTCCGTTTCGCGCGCCCAAGTCTGGGCGGGCACCTAGCCGCGCAAAAGGATTGGCCGATTCGGTTGGGCGTTGCAGAGCAGAGCAAGCTTTCGGTGGGGCGTCTCAGAGCAGGGCAAAAGCTGGGCAAAGGCAAGTGCTGTCATACCAACATATCATTTTACGCGAAACCTCACGCGGAATCTTGCGCGAACGCTTGAGCGGCTTACGCGGATGCTGAGACACTTGAACCGTCCGTTGCGGTGTCAACATCACCATCATCATCATCATCACCACCACCATCATCACCATCATCATCATCATCATCATGATCAGCATCATCATCATCATCATCAGCATCATCATCATCACCACCATCAGCATCATCATCAGCATCATCATCAGCATCATCATCAGCATCATCATCATCATCAGCAGCAGCAGAGCAGCAGCAGCATCATCATCATCATCATCATCATCATCATCATCATTATCATCATCATCATCAACATCATCATCATCACCACCACCATCAACATCATCATCATCATCAGCATCATCATCAGCATCATCATCATCATCACCATCACCATCACCATCACCATCATCATCATCAGCAGCATCATCATCATCATCATCAACACCACCACCACCACCACCACCACTAACACCATCTCATCATCAGCATCATCATCATCATCATCATCATAATCATCGTCCTCATCATCATCATCATCATCATCATCAGTATCATCATCCTCATTATCATCATCATCACCATCATAAACACCATCATCATCATCATCATCGTCATCATCATCATCATAAGCATCATCATCAGCATCAGCATCAGCATCGCCATCATCATCAAACTCATCATAATCATCAGCGGCAGCAGCAACAGCAGCAACACCATCACGACCATCTTATTTCACCTCACCATGTTCACCATCATCACCGTCACCATCGTCATCATTACAATGACCATCAACCTTGCCGTTGCAATAACATTCATCATCATCACCAGCATCATCATCATCATCATTATCATCATCAACGTCATCAGCATCACCATCATCATAAACCGAACCATCCATCAACATCATCATGTTCACACCCATCATTACCATCAACTGCATCATGAACAGCATCAGCATCAGCATCAGCATCGTCACCACGGGCATCATCAGCAGCAGGTTTACTACCATCATTATCATCAGCCTCAACAGCATCAATACCACCAATAACATCATCGTTATTAGCATCCTCATCAGCACCGCAATCGTAATCGTCGCGTTTACCATCATCAGTAGCAACGTCATCACTATCATAATCAGCAGCATCATCATCATCATCACCATCAGCATCACCATCATCATCATCAGCATCATCATCACCATCATCGTTATCAACAGCATCAACGCCATCATCATCAACAGCGGCATCCTCATCAACATCATCATCATCAGCATCATCAACAGCATCATCAGCATCATCAACATCATCAGCATCAGCATCAGCATCAGCATCAGCATCATCATCATCATCATCATCATACACAACATCACCAGCATCAGCATTTGCGCATTTGCATTAGCATCATCATCACCATCATCATCAGCAGCAGCAACATCATCGCACTTCTCGTTCTCGCCATTCTTCCCCCATCTAACGTCCGCCCCCCTCCCTCACCTCACATCTCCCCCTCCTCAGGCCTCCTATCCCCTCCCCCCCTACTCCCACCCCAATGACCCTGGAGCTCGCCCAGTCGTACACGCTGTAGTACTTCTGCAGGAAGGGGATCCCGAAGATGAAGAGCAGGCCATTCGGCGGTGGCAGGTCCAGCGGCATCAGCGCCATGCGGCAGCTGGAGCCGCTGCTGTCCACGTACTCGCTGGGCGCCAAGCTCAGGATCCTTTCGGGCGGCGCGCAACAAAAAGGGTGAAGCGGGGCGGCCAAGAATTTGTCCCCCGGGATAGCGGCCGTCATCAACCCCGCCCCCCCTGGAATGACGTCACGTTCCGCGCTGGCTGCGTCTGGGAATGCCTAGAGATGACCGAGGCCAAATACGAGCAGCATGTAGGTGGCGATCTGCACCACAGTGCCAATGTACACCACAATGCTCGCGTGCACAACAACGTGCGTGTACACCACAACGCCTGTGTACACCGCGACACCCGTGTGCAACGCACCAGCGCCAGTGTTCCACAACGAATGTGTATACCACAACAATCATGTGCAATAGAACGCCCGTGTACAACACAGCGCTTGCGCGCACCGCAGCGCCTGTGCACACCAGAGCGCCAATGTCCACCTCAGCACCCGCGTGCAACGCAGAGCTGGTATACACCGCAATGGCTGCGTGTACAAGACATGTAGAAGGAGCAGCAGTGAGGATGTGCTACGAAAAGCCAAACACCACGCCAGGGAAGTGCCGATAATATAATGCGATGTGTTTCCCTCCTCCTCCCTCATTTTCCTCTCATGCAGCTCCACTTGGGGGTGGCGGAAGCGGGGAGGGCAACCAAACCGCCGCTGAGACAGCAACAGGTCGTTCAAAACACAACCAAACGCACTGAATTGCACAACGATGCGCAACAGCAAGGGAATCTCCCATCGGGAAAGGGTGCCACGCAAAACCAAGTTGGCACAGCGGAGCCGTACAGTGGGTAGTTCGGAGCAACATCCTGGCGCAACCGCGCACCCTTGTAACACATTGCGGCGCAGACGCTTCGTGACACACTTTCGCAGCCGCTGGACCCCCCAGCAGCCCTCGAAAGTGGCGACAGTTTCGCAGATCATAGCCCCCCCCAGGGGTGGCGAAGTATTCATCTGAATCTGGGTAAGACGTCGCTCCGCTGAACCCAATCAGCCCTCGAAACTGGCGACAGTTTCGCAGATCGCAGCCCCCCAGGGATGGCGATGTCTAGTTTGAATATTGGTAAGACGTCGCTTCGCTGGACCCCCCAGCACCCCTCGAAAGTGGCGACGGGTTGGCAGATCGCAGCCCCACAAGGATGGCGAGGTCTAAACTGGATATGTGTTAGATGTCACTCCGCTGGACCCCCCAGCAACCCTCGAAAATGGTGATAGTTTCGCAAATAGATCCCAAGGATGGCGATGTCTAGTTTGAATACGGGTAAGACGTCACTCCGCTGGACCCCCCAGCAGCCCTCGGAAGTGGTGACTGATTCGCAGATCGCAGCCCCACAGGGATGGCGAGGTAGGAGGCAAGCTGGCACGCAAAAAGGAACGAGGTAAGTAGAGGCAGGCAGGAAAGATGAAGGAAAGAGGGAGGCGGGCAGGAAAGATGAAGGAAAGAGCATTTGATATACTTACATCATTGTGCAATGCGTGTTGGGTTGACAAAGCTATCCCAGAGGGCTGAAGGGAGGCGTCGGTCGTTCCAATTTTCAAGAAAGGCGATACGTCCCAACCCAGCAACTACCGACCAATATCTCTTCTTGCCGCGGGCTACAAGATTCTGGCCAGCATACTGCTGAGCAGACTCAAGCACGGAGGTACTGAAAACGCTCTGCGAGAATCTCAATATGGTTTCAGGGCGAACCGCAGCACTGGCGACGCCTTTTTTTGGCGCGAAGATTGATTGATGCAGCCTTGGGAGATAAGGGCGGGACGCTGTTATTATTGCTTTTGGACTGGAGCAAGGCTTTCGATCGTATTTCAACGTCTGGGCACGTTTACGCATTGCAGTAATTTGGCGTGCCGACCGAGATGGTAGACATGATCAATGGCATTTACATGGTCAGGAAATTGGTCGTCCAGGACGCAAGCGGGAGGACTTCGCAACGTATGCAATCAGCTGGTATTGCCCAAATTTGCCCTTTGTCGCCATACATTTTCATCGTCATGGTCGTGCTTCTTGAAACCGTGGACCAGCAAATGTCCGCGGAATGCCCCGACAGGCTCACGAAGCCATACGTCCATACGTGTTAACCGGAGATGTGCCCTACGCAAACGACACCATGCTGGTGGCATAAGACAAAACCGCTCTTCAGAAGCATCTGGAGATCGTCGCGAAGATCGGGAAGCTGTACGGGCTGAGCTGAACGATGGCAAAACAGTGCTACTCAGGGTATGTTCGGAAGAATCCATTCTTGGACCTGGTGGTGAAGCAATACAATCTAAAGACCACGCGGTGTATTTGGGAGGATTGTTGAGCACGTATGGCAATCCTGGCACAGAGCTTACGCAACGGCTGGGAGAGGCAAGAGGAATTTTCAAACAATTGTGTACAAGTTGGAATCACGCGAATCTCAGCAAGAAGCATAAACAACGGATCTTGGTATCTGGTGTATTTTCGAAGCTCCTGTATGGTCTGGAATCCTGCATGCTCCTGGAGGCGGACAGGGACAGGCTCGACAGCTTACAAAAGCAACGTTTGCGAAAGATACACAAAATACTGCCGGCGTACGTGTCTAGGGTCAGCAACGAGGTGGTCAGATAAACTGCCCAGGCTCGGCGGCTGTCTGTTGACCTCCTTGAAAGACAACTTCGGTTTCATGGGAACGAGAGCAATGGCTTTCCAGAGTGGCCCAAGAGCAACGAGAGCCTCCCAGGAGCAATGGTTTCCAGAATGGCCCCTGCCACGAAGATTAACCAAGACCAAGGCGCAGCGCCCGGTCTCGAGGGCGCCCTCGCTTGTTATGGACATCATACTTACATTCACGTGCACTGGAAGTGACCGCCAGCACAGTTCTGAAGCACTCCAACGTATACTTCAAGACGCTGCGAAATGGAAGTCGGCAGTTGCAACATATTGTGGCAGTGTGTGATCGACCTTCCTCTCGTCTCCCTCCCTCCTCCTCGCCCCCTGACGCGCCGCGCAGCTATCCCTCGCACTACGTTGGAGCAAAGAGTACAACGATAGTCGCCCGAGGCACTGCGCTGGCTTAGCGGTCGCAATTATTCACGCCTTCGTGCATGCAGGTTCGCATGTGCTTTCAGCCAGATCTTACCAATGCACCGTCAGGGCGCGGCTTTTGTGTGTGGGCAGGAAGGAAGGAAGAAAGGCGGGAGGTGTGCGACCGCATTGCTCTATTCAAAACGAGAATCCAACCAAGGGAGGATTGGGGGGGGGAGGGGGAGGGAAAACACGCTCCAGGGAGCGACCTCTCGGGGGAAGAACCTTCATTGGGAGCCCCCGAGGCCTTTCGACAAGCCCCCTCGACTCCCTCAGGAGGCCCCGCTCCCCTGGGACTTGCGGGTCGGACGAGAATGGGAGGAATGGGAGGCTCGTAAAGGGGGGGGGGGGGGAATATGCGAATCAACTTATGCAGATGGTTTTCCCGGCGACTCCCGTTGCGGAGGGCGCCAACATATCGTCGAAAGCGCCATCCCCGAGGGGGGAACGTCAGGGGGGGACGGCTCGGCCTGGAATCGACGATATACCGCCGATAGGTCGGCGATAGGCCCCTGATGGCGGAAACGCACGGTCCAGGGAAGGGAGGGCCACCGTGCCTCCCATCGGCGATGAGCGGGCGATTGGGGGTCGATGCGTTCCCCCCTGAGACTATCGCCCCCGTAGCGTTGCCCTCGACTGCCCCCCTCAGCCTCCCAAAAGGCCCCAACCCCTCGCCCGTTCCCCCTGGGGAAACAAACAGACAGTGACAACGACGATACCGCTACTCTCTGGACCAAAGAGAATCCAGCCGTGGCGACAGGGCTCTCCAGGACGAGCAGTGGCATCGGAACAGTCTCCCCCGCCAACCCCCCTCTTGCGCGCCGCCAGCCTGCCGCCGATGACAAAGCCGAGGTCTGGGAGCGAGTCGTAATTCGAGCAGTTCGGGCTCACGCCCAGCTGCCTCTGGAGCAAGTCGATCGTGTCGGACGGCCCTGCCAGCTGGGACGTGCCCGTGTCCACGGCCACCCGGCAGTCCTTGCAGATCCCCGTGGTCCGGTTGCCGACAGTCGGAGGGCGCCAGCTGTACACCCAAACCTATCATGGCCAGACCCACGCTGGGCCAGGGATCGGTGTTCCTCCCACACACAGAGGCAGTGCCCGAAGAAAAAGCTGGTCTGCTGTCTGCAGTAACATGTCCGCAGCGCGAGCTCAGGGAAGCACGCCTGTCTTCAGTGACTCCTCGGCGCGTCAGCGCGCAACGAAACTGTCACGAAACTCGGCCCGCAAATGCGAGCGAAAGCTGACGAGGAGGACGAGGAGGAGGGAGGGAGAGGAGAAAAAGTAGGCAAGCAGGCCTCGATGGTCTTCGCCCGACTCCTGACGGTCAGGGCGCCTTCATGACCATGGCGGGCTTCCAAAGCGATGCATCATCGCAGACGAGAACGTGAGGCAAGTCAAACTGAAGCAGTGGGCAGGAACCAAGGGAAACGACGAGGACAGAGGGGGAGGCTGGACCCATGCCGGGGGACTGCCGGACATGGGCCAGGGATCGGTGTATGCGCCTTCCTGGCCCAGCCAGGACACCCATCCTGGGCCCAAGATGGGCCCCAGGATGGGCCTAGCCAGAATCGGTGTGGGTGTATAATCAGATGAATCCCTCCGAGATAGCGATATCCTCCATGGTGATCTCCCAGTAGCCGGCCGTACCTGTGACGTTGACCCAAAACAGCTCGGAGGCCATGTGCTCCTCCCTCACGGCACCGAACATGACCTCCGAGCTCTCCTCGTCGGAGTTCGACATGAAAACGGCGAAGATCGGCCGGTGCAGCGCATGCCCCTCGGTGAGCAGGCCCATCAGGCTGAAGGCCGGCGCCTGCTGGCGATCGACATCTGATCCATGCCCCTGCTCACGCCCCGACCCCACGAGGAGCCGGAGCGGAGGCACGGATAGATTACTAGCCTCAGGAGGCACGTTCGTTTTCCATGCCCTGCTTCCCCTGGTGCCCAAGAGCGGAGGGGGCAGCATCGAGGGTATGGATCGAGCGTCGATTGTCGAGCCTGGGCCATGCCCGCCAGGGCCAGGCCCAGGATGCCGTCGAAGGCGAACGCCTCGAACGGGGAGGAGCTCTCGTGGCTGGCCGCTATGAACCTCGCCTCTGCGCACGCGCTGCCGAGGCACACCCTGTCCCTGAGGCACCGGCCCTCGACGCTACCAGTGCCGAACGTGACCGTGATCTCGTCAGCGGTGCCACCACCGTCGCCGTCGCTTGAGCAGCTCACCGCTCCCACCGTGCTGGAGCTCCCCTCGGCGAAGCGCCGGTGGGACGTGCAGGCCCCGCTCTCGCAGTCGTCGCTGGGCACGATGATAGAGAAGGAAAAACAGCATAAACATCAACTTTCGACGGTCCGCGCGGATTTCATATATCTCCGCCGGACCCCCGTTCCTGGCGCGCGGAGCGCGCCAGGGGCGGCGCTGGAGGCGCCGCCCCGGGGGCCCAGCGCCGATCCAAGAAGTCCGCGTGCAGCGCCGACAGTTATGTTTATGCCGCTGTTCTTCTTCGAAATGAGGTTCCCGCTGCCCGTGTCCATGACCACCGAGAAACTCTGGCGAGGGGTCCCCACTTGCACCGTGCCGAAGTAGGCCAGCTTGTGGACCGCGCCGCTGCCGGCCCGGCCCCGCACGGCCGCCCTCCGCAGCGGCATGGAGACGCCCGCCCTGACCTGGGCCCGGGAGCTGACCTGCAGGAGGCTCACCTGCGAGCAGAAGAGCCAGCATGAGCACAACCATCTCGAGGTCCGCGGAGGTTCCTTGGATCGGCGCTGGGCCCCCATGGCGCATTCCGCGCGCTAGGGACGAGGGCTTCCCAGACACCCTCTGGCTCGATTTGCTCAATCCGCGGCCCCACAGCTCTCGACACCCTTCCCCTGGGGTAGCCTTGCGTCCTGGATCCACTTCTGATGTCCCCAGGGACCGAAAAGCTACACACGAAGGCCGAAGTGAAGAAAAAGTGCCCGCGACTAAAAAAACATGCCGTCGAAGGTCTGTTGTGCCCATCGCCGATCCAAGAGATCCGCGCGGGCCTTTGAGAGCTGCTCATGGCGGGTTCTCTTCCTAACCTGGGAGGGGCAAAAACAGTATCAGTGACACACCGCCGTGGAGAACCCATTAGCATGGTGCTGCTGAGGAAGACCAGGCCGTGTGGTAAAAACAAAATATTAACGTGAGTAGGGGGACCAACTCAGGGGGGGAAATATTGACCTTGAATCGGGTATACATCGCCGATAGATCCGAGATGGGCCCCCGATAGCAGAACCGCTAGTGCCAGGGCGGGGTGGGCTTTCGGACCCCCGTACATTACGCCACAGTCGCGCCAACAGGGCCACCATCCCTGGTAAATTACATAATATTTGCGTCCCCGAGGCCATAGACCCTGATACATTATACCATATTTGCGTCCCCGAGCCCCAAACCTTGTAAACTATAGAGTCCTCGCGTCCCCGAGGCCATGAGCTGTCAATATACAATGTTCGCGCCCCTGGGGCCATCATCCCTCCTAGATTACGCAATGCTTGTGCCACCCGAGGCCATAAACCCTTGAAATTTCCCGATAGTTGCGTCCCCGAAACCATCTACCCTCGTAAATTCCGCAATGCTCGCGTCCCCGAAACCATACACCTTCTTGTAAGTTACGCAATGCTTGCGTCCCCGAGGCCATAACCCGCGTAAATTACGCAATGTTCGCGCCCCCGAAACTTGAACCCCTGTAGATTACACAATATTTGCGTCCCCGAGGTCATGAACCCTTGTAAATTGAACAACAATGGCGCCCCCGAGGCCATAATCCCTTTGTAACTTCTACTAGACTCTCGCGCCCCCGAGGCCTCAGTCCCTCACAACAGACGCCGAGGAGCCCGAAGACCGCCCCAGCCGCGCGATTTTGCCCACTCTAGCCTGAAGCAGCCCCCAGCCTTTCCAAGAGGGCCTCCAAAGCACAGCATGCGAAGACAAGTCCAGAATGCAACACCGAATTCAACAATATCATCTGAATACACATCTTCCTTGCCGATTACTTATCGTCCTCGCATGAATTTCGGACACTGCTGCAAGACGGCGCCCAGACCTCACGACGTAACCCTTGCATGATCCATTATCCGAGAGAGGGGGCCGGCAGCAGGGGGCGAAACCCTTACGGAGAATAACTTTCGGATCATAATTCGGGTCTCCAACAGCCGTATGGGACAATCCGGGCACCCCAAGAACGCTCTCGGCGAAGCACAGCCGCTGAAGGCATCCCGACAACCTCGAAACTCGAACCCCCCCGAGAAGCCTCGAACCCCGAAGGCCGCTGCCTCTGAATACCGTCGGTCCGGGGAACGCCCGCGTCGAACTCATCCCCCTCTAATGGTGCCCCTGACAGCGGCGGCGTGTCGCTGGTGCTCCAGGCTCCCCAGGAACGCTCCAGGCGAGGCGCAGCCGCTGGAAGGCATCCCGAGGCAGGAAGCCCCTGAATACAAGGAAACGATCGAAAACCTCAAACCTCGAAGAACTCGAGCCTCGGAGCCCTCGAAACCTCGAGCCTCACCCTCAGCCGCAACCTTGGCCCTTACAACGGCGGCGTGTCACTGATGCTTGGGCAGGGACCGACCAGCCCAGCAGACCTGTAGGCCTCCCACGAAATGCGCTGATAATTACTCATAGCGTGGATCTTCCCATATGTGCATCCATGAGCATGGACCTGTCCGCCGTGAGAGTCTAGGCGCAAGAATTTTAGAATATTCACGGGCTTGAGCATTGACGGTCTGGGAAGGAATCTAACTGTGAATGGGTTGGAGTGTTGATGCGTCTCAGTAGTACGAGCGCGACTCTGCGCATGAGCCTGGGACCTCCTGGGGCCTCCCGAAACCTCCTGGGGTCCCTGAGCCTCCCCGGGCTTCGTGCGCCCTCCTAGGTCCTCCTGTGAGGGGCAGCGATAGGGGGGGATGGGCATAGGGGGGGACGCATCGACCTGGAATCCGCACCTTCCTGGGCGGGGTGGGGCTATCGGGCCCCTATCGGCGATCAATGGGCGATTGGGGGCCGATGCATCCCCCCCTATGCCTATTCCCCCCTCTCGTTGCCCCTGATCCTGGAGCCTCCTGGGGTATCCTGGGGAGGGTTCGTGTCCCAGCACAGGCCCAATCTCTAGGAACAGACGTACATAAAACACTGCGGATTGGAGACACAGTCTATAGGAACACACGTAAAACACCAAGGACCCGTGCCCCAGGGAGGCCCAATCTATAGGATCATACGTGAAACACTTAGGATTGGATACGCAGGAATAGGACTATAGAGGCATGCGTAAAACGCTAAGTATTCGTGCTCCAGGGGAGGCCCAATCTATAGGAGCATACGTGCAACACATGGGATTGGAGCTACTCCTGTGGCCTTCTGAGGCCTCCTGCTCCTGGGGCCTCTTGGGGCCTCCTGGTGCCTTCCTGGGCCTCCTGGGACCTCCTGGCGCTTCCTGTGGCCTCCTGTCCTGGGGCCTCCTGAGGCTTCCTGTAGGCTCCTGCAGCATCCTGGAGTCTCCTGAAGCCTTCTGGAGCTTCCTGGGGCCTCCCCTGTGGCCTCTTGAATCTTCCTGTGGCCTCCTGATGCCTCCTGGGACCTCCTGTTGCCTCCTGGGGCATCCTGGAGATTGCTGGAGCCTCCTGTGGCATCGTGGGGAGGATCCGTGCCCACGAGTCTGGCCACCCAAACAGGCAAACCGACCGAGACATCCTCAAATTCTGTCCTCGCCTAGGGGGGCGAACATGAGTGCCTCGCTCGAGACATCCTCCAAGTCTGCTCCGAAAAGCGGAGGATGTAGGGGCAGGAAACAAGCAAACCGCTCGACGCATCCCCGCCAGTTTGGCGCGAACGGAGGAGTGAGATACCCCCTGGCGGCTCCCCCTTGGGGGTGCTGAAACCCGCGCCTCGCTCGAGACATCCTCAGAACTGGCTCCACCATCATCATCAGCATCATCATCAGCAGCAGCAGAAGCATCATCATCATCATCATCATCATCATCATCATCATCATCATTATCATCATCATCATCATCATCATCATCAGCATCAGCATCATCATCATCATCATCATCATCATCATCATCATCATCATCATCATTATCATCATCATCATCATCACCATCACCATCACCCTCACCATAACCATCACCATTACCATCACCATCACCATCATCATCATCATAATCATCATCATCATCATCATCATCCTTATCAGCATCATGACCATCACCATCATCAGCATCATCATCATCAGCGTCATATCATCACCATCATCATCATCATCATCAGCATCTTCATCATCATCATCCGCATCCTCATGGTCCTCATCATCAGCAGCATCATCGTCAGCATCATCATCATCATCAGCAGCATCAGCATCATCATCATCATCGTCATCATCATCAGCATCATCCTCATCATCATCAGTATCATAATCAAAATCATCATCACCATCATCATCAGCATCATCATCAGCAGCAGCGTCAGCATCATCATCATCATCACCATCATCGGCAGCACCATACTAAATCATCATCATCATCATCATCATCATCATCATCAGGATCATCACCATCATCATCATCATAATCATCTTCAACAACAACAGCATCATCATCAGCATCAGCATCATCAGCATCATCAATCGTCAATTGCACCATCACCGCCGCCACCACCAGCATCATCACCGCGACTGTACAAATCGAACCACGAACATCCTTGCAAAGGCTGGTTCGTAGAGATTCTAGAAAGACGCAGTCGGACGGCGAGGGTAGAGCTTGAGGAAGAAGTAGCATAGGCCGCCTGATCCAACATCTGGTATCCGCTGGCCCATTTCGAACACGCTGGTGCACTAGAGGGCTGATCGGCATCGTCATCATCATCACCACCAGCATAATGACAAGACAGCATAACATACAATACCATAACATGACACACCATACCATAACGTAACATAGCACATCATATCATAACATAACATATCATGCACTGCCATAACATATCATAACATGTCATAATATCACACCATAACATGTCATAGCATGTCCGAATATAGCTCAGCATAATGTAGCTTTCCACTACACAGCATTACGTACATGCCATCACATAGCATACCAAACTATGACAAGGAAGATGAGTCATCTAATACACTCTGACTGAGGAAGGTGAGGTGGAGGTGAGTTCTCGGCGCGGTCAGAGTAATCACAATAATCCCATCCTATGGATATGGGGAGTGAAAGTAATCACACAAACAGACGTATGGAAACAAGACTGTCTCAGCCAGACATGCTCTAGAAACACCCTGTGCAAGCCACAGGATGTTCTTAGAAAGTTATTTGGCGGGCCTGCAGGCAGGTCAGGACGCTTTCCCACTGCTTGGGATGCTCCTCTTGTGGAGGTGGCCTCTGAACCCCAGAAAATCGGTCAAGAGGGGGGAACAAGGGCAAATGCAGTCAAAATCTGCCCCCAAACCCCTCGCAGAGTCCATCCGGTGCAATTTTCCATCCCGGATCTGTTTTTGACTGTCCGGGGGCCCGAAAGCGGCCCCCTGAAGCAAAAAACATGCAAAAAACCTTCTCGAGCCCTGAACCTCGAACCTCCCCCCCGTTCTGTTCTGTTGGCCGGAACCAGTGCTGGGCCACCTCAGGCCCCGAGCCAGTTCCTGCTCTCGGAGAGATGTCAGACTCGGGTTGGGGGGACTCAGGTTGGCCTGACGGGGCTGGTAGAAAAATGCAGAGGCCAATCTGCAATTTGACGCGACCTCCTGCTGCAAACATCCCACGAAAGCTGGACCGTCAAAATCCAGGACGGGCTCGTCAAAAATGACAGCGAGCCCGAGTTCCCAAGTTCAGGCGAACTGGAGTCTGACGTTCCGCCGCCTCTTCGCGCGGCGCTGGGCCGAAAAGGCGTGGGAGCGAGTCACGACTCGCGTGAGTCGTGGGCGCGCAAAATACGGCCGGTACCGCCTCGCTCGGCGGCGGAAATCCGGGATTTGGCATGGAAACGGGACCCGTCGCTAATCCACGCCCCCCTGATCCATGCTTGCGATCGCCTGGGTGAAGTTCAGATTTCCCCATTCGGGCCTCGCCCGCCCCCTCCACCCGCCCCCACCCCCCCTTAGAGGCCGCCCAGGCCAGAGGAACGCGCCGAATCTCCGAGCCAGAGGAACGCGCCGAATCTCCGATGCATCGACATTCCCCCGAAACCAAGGTGAGAAGGATGTCATGATGAGATTGGCTCAGGATGCGTTCCAGGATTTCCAGGAGTGTGGCGGCGCAGCCGGTGCGGAACATTCGGAACTGTCGGGAAAATCCTGGAACCCTTGGAAATCCTGGAACGTATCATTATCATGACCTCTCGCTCCTCTGAGGAACTCCTCCCTGCCCCCTCTCCATCCCGACGTCGCCGACGCGCGACGCCCCTCCGCCCTGCAGGCTGGCGGCGCCGCGGCGCTCGGCCAGGGCTGGGCCGCGGCGGAGAGGCCCGCCCACAGGAGGCACGCGGCGGGGGCGGTGGCCGCCATGGCGCTGCCGCTCGGCGGCGGGCCGCGCGCAGCTTGAGCCGAGGCAGCTCCGACTCCTCTGAGGGTAGCTGGCGGAGGGGCATATGGGGGATAGGAGCAGGAAGGGCCACATGAGCAACGAAAAAGAACGGGCCTTACCCGAGAAGGCATAGCGACGTTAAGCGGCGGCGTACGCGGGCCGCCAGCGTGGCACGCTGCAGTGGAAACGGAAGCGCTTACGCGTGACCTTACGCGGGCAGCTTACGCGCCAACGTCGGCGAAAACGACTCCTGTTTTTGACGTCGCTCACATGGCGGTGTCAGTGAGAGGGAGCTGCCCTCGGGACGCCAACAGGGGGGCATAGGATCTGAATCGGAATAGCCACATGAGAGCCTCCCATCCTCCTCCTCATCCTCCTCTTCCTCATCATCATCATCATCATCACTACAACCACGACCACCACCATCACCATCACCATCACCATCACCATTATCAGCAGCATCATCAGAATCATCATCAACGCCGTCGTCGTCGTCCTCCTCCTCATCACCATCATCACCGTCGTCGTCATCACCACCATCACCTCTTCCTCCTCCTCCTCCTCCGCATCCTCCTCCACCTCTTCCTACTCCTACTCCGACTCCTGCTCCTGCTCCTACTCCGAGGACCACATCTACGACTACGTCTACTCCTACGACTGCGGCTACGACTACAACTACGACTTCGACTGCGACTACGGCTACGGCTACGGCTACGACTACGACTACGACTACGACGACGGCGGCGGTGGCGGCGGCGGCGACGACGACGACGACGACGACTACTACGACTACGACTACTACTGCGACTACGACTACGACTGATACTACTATTACTATTATCATTACTACTACTACTACTACTACTACTACTACTACTACTACTACTACTACTACTACTACTACTACTACTACTACTACTACTACTACTACTACTACTACTACTACTACTACTACTACTACTACTACTACTACTACTACTACTACTACTACTACTACTACTACTACTACTACTACTACTACTACTACTACTACTACTACTACTACTACTACTACTACTACTACTACTACTACTACTACTACTACTACTACTACTACTACTACTACTACTACTCTTGCACTAGACCAACATAAGTCTCAGGGCTGTTACGTGGTGCAGGAAAAAGGTAATGCAAAACCGACTTGCCGTGGAATCACTGGCAATCCACTTGGCAGGCGCCGCAGCTCATGAAGGAACATGCGAAAGGCGAACCTCGTCCGATCGAACAGGGTCGGCGGCTCTGGCCGTAAGGCCTTCGCAGTAAAAATGGTGGGAATAGCTACATGACGCAATGGCCTGCTGACGTGCTGAGCGTTCGGCCGCACTCAAAGGGCTAGGAACGAGCCCTCGATTGAACCGATCTTGGTAGGATTTCCTGGTGGCATTAACGGACTTAGAGATAACCAGTAGGGGAGGGGAGGAAGTAGGGGGGGCCCCTGGGGAGTGAAGGACGAGGGGGGAGGGGAAGGGGGTGCCCCTGGGGGTCGAGGAAGGGGGGGAGGGGGAGGCACGGCGGGGAAGGAAGGGCGACGCCGACGCCGCCCTGGAGAAGGGCGCCTCCCCATCCCAGGCCGCGCTGCGCGAAGAGCGGTGATCTTCGCGCCCCCTCGCGTGACCTGACTTTTTCCCCTGTCTCGGCCTGCGGGGAGAAGAGGTGGGGGCCCAGATAATATACACCACCACCACGTCGATTCCTCCTGTGTCCTCTTTCCAGCGAGAGGGTGTATTCTTTGCTCTGTCCTCTTTCCTCTGTCCTCTTTCCTCTGTCCTCTTTTGCTGTATTCATCCTCTGTCCTCTTTCTGCCCTCTTTCCTCCTTCCTCTGTCCTCTTTCCTCTTTCCAGCGAGGGGGAGGGAGGTGGTGGTGGTGTATATTTTTGGGCCCCCGAAGAGGGAGCCATCCCCGTCTTCGGGCCCCGAGGGACGTCCACAAGAGCTCCGGGGCGCAGCACGTCCCCCGGAGGAAGGGGTCGCGCGCGCTGGGGCCACGGGTCGACGTACAACAAAGCCTGCGGGTGTCTGAAGTTTTCGGAAGACCTTGGAGCTGGGAGAATCTTTCGGCTCCAGAGCGTCAGCGTCGTTGTCGTCATCGCCGTCGTCGTCGTCCCCCTTCAGAGTCGGCGGCGCTGGCCGCAAGGCCTTCGCAATCTGAGGGGCTTTTCGAATATCCTGAACGGCGTCCAACGGATCGGCCGGCCTGTATGCCGTGCGCAGCGAGAGCGGGGGGGAGGGGGCTGAGGCGCAGGTGCACGGATACACTTTTGCGACCCTCGGGTGTGGAGGTCGGGGGGGAGGGGGAGGGGATTCCCCCTGCGGTAGCCAGAAGGGGGAATAGGAATAGAAGTAGGAATAGCTACATGACGGGGTCAATGAGAGGGAACTGCGCAATGGCCTGCTGACGTGCTGAGCGTTCGGCCGCACTCAAAGGGCTAGGAACGAGCCCTTGATTGAACCGATCTTGGAAGGATTTCCTGGTGGCATTAACGGACTTAGAGGTAACCCGTCGTCAAGGGGAGGGGGAAAGGGGGCGGGGTCCCTGGGGGGTGGAGGAAGTGGGGGAGGTGGAGGGGAGGGGGTGCGAAGCATGCCTGCCTCTATGCTCTCGACGCCGACCGAGGTTCCCTGGGCTACGCTCTGCAGGGAGAGAGGCCACTGGGACTCGCCTAACCGAGCTGCCACTTCGATGCCCAGCCCCTAGACGCACAACGCTGCAGACCTTCGGGGGCTCGGGGACAGCTTGAGCCGAGGTATTTCCAGATCCACGTGAGGTAACCAGCAAGCGTCTGGAGATCCGAGCGCAGAGCCTCCCAAGCGACGGAACCGTTTAGAAAGCCTGCCCGAAGCGCCGCGGGGGCGCTGACCGCGACGATGGAGAAACGAGAAGGTACCCACACCGCTACTCCCTGAACCTCTCCCTGGGCGCGCTCTGATCGGGACCCCGAGGAGAATCCAGCCGCATCAACGAGAGCTGTCCAGGACGAGCAGCGACATCGGCAATTACCTCTCTCCCTCTGAGCCGGACTGATCTGAGAGGGCGTCCCGGCGCCCGAACCTGGGCAAAAACGCCTGGCTCGAAACCATGGAGACGCCAGACGTGGCGGCGCGCACAAGGGGGTAACGGGGGAGGGCGAAAGGCTTCTAGGCTTCTTAGAAGGAAGCCGCTCCTCAGAAGGCGCCAGCCCTCCATCCACAAACAAGGCCCGCCTCTTCTGAGGAGCAGGGGTGCTTCTAAGAAGGCTCCCCCCCCTCTCCCCCTGATTACCCCCCCTCAGCGCATGGCTGGCAGACGCAGCGCCGCCCGGGCGACGGAGCCACGTCTGGCGGGCCCTGCCCAGCGCGCCGCGGGGGCGCTGCGCCGCGACGGGCGCCCGGGCGACCCGCCGCGGCGGGGCTCTCCGAGGCCCGCGCCGCGGCCCCGATCGCGGAGCCGGCGGCAGGCCTCGTCCGCGGCCAGGCCCAGCTGCTCGAGCCCGCCGGGCGCCGCCCGCCCGCCGCCTGGAAAGCCGCCAGGCGCGGGCCGAGCCCAGACCCAGACATGCTCGCGGCGCGAAGAAGTCAGGACGCGAGGTCTGGGGCCATTTTTCGCGGAGCCGTCGTCGGGCCTCGGGACCGTTCAGAAACGACTCAGGATGCAAGATTCGCTCCAGGGAAGGGGTCGGGACTTCTGGGGGCCCGTAGTGACAGAATCAAGGCATCGCATGACTGGGAACACGAAGTCGTCGCTCTGTCTCGGCAATAGCCCGACTTATCCGGCCGGGGGGAAAGGAGGTGCCGGCCGATAGCCCAACCTGGGCAGCACCACGTACGCCCGCGCGCGCCAATACTGCATACACCCTTATTGCTCCCTGCAGTCACCAATATCATCTTGGAGGGGGTTCGCAACCGTTCTGGTGACCGTGTGCTGCCCCCCGCCACCGCTAGCAAACCACAAGCCGGAGGGTTCCAAAAGGCCGGGGCTTTGGGGGAGGGGGTTTTCCAGAGAGCCCCCAGGGGCCTCGGAACCTCGTCGAAACAGGGGGTGCGAAGCCTGGCAAACCCCCTCCCCAAAAACCTCTTTTGGAACCCTCCGGGCAAGGGCACAACATGCCTTGTCTTATGTCCTACCACGGGTGGCGGCACCATGCGACCCCCCCACGCAACAGCAAGTCGAAAATCTAAGCCGAATCGAGCGGTAAGGTCTATATCTACAATCGGAATAGCAGCAGGTGAATGTAGATGATCGAGACAAGGACGGTTAGTTGATGTGAACGATACCGTATGTGCACGTATCAGGTGTTGACATGATGCGTCGTAGCTGCCGTCACGACGCGTCGTGGATGCTGTGACGTGCCATAGCTGCCGACACGGCGTGTCGTACCCCGATCTTCTTGGCGAGATCGGAGACACCCGTCTCTGTTTGGGCGTGCCGGCCCATCCACCGTCGCAGGCTCGGGGCGCGCCCCCCAGCGCGCCCGCAAGCAGATGTAGTTGAAGGGGCCCTGGGACACACAAATAAATACATGCAAATAACAGGATTCCCCATCAATTCCTATATTCTATGGGATTTTGTCTTCCCCCCCACTTCCCATGTTTTTCCACATTTTCTGGGGAATCGACGATTCATTGTGCCTGTGTGGTTTTTTCCCTCCTGAGTGGTAGCCGGTCGGCCGCAGACGGCCCCCCCCCCGACCAGCCCATCCGACCAGCCACAACTTGGGGAGCTGTGGTCCTTACCCCCCTGGGGGAACCCATCGCAGCGACGATCTCTCGAGAGGGGTGTCGAAATCGATGGGTCCCCCGGGGGGGGTACGGACCACAGCTCCCCCAGTTGTGGCTGGCCTGCCCATCCGCCGTCGCAAGCTCGGGGCGCGCCTCCCAGCGCGCCCGCAAGCGGCTGCGGTAGCCGTTCGGCCGCAGACGCCCCCCCCCCCGGAGCGGGGAGCCCAGGCCCCGAGGGAAGCAGCC